GGCCCAGGGAAACCTATCTCTGAGCTAGTGGAAATAGCGTATAAAGTGTATGGAAATCGAGAACAGGTAGCAGAAAGAAGAGAAGAAAAGAGGGGGCTTAAAGTCTGTGATTCCTAACCTTGGCTTGATTAAGCTTGGGCCTTTAATATATTTTAAGGTTACTTGTTCTTTGGCTTCACTGGCAGTGGCAACTGACTACCTACTAGGCAAAATGCTGCATGATGTTATTTAAACTAATCAATATTGCAGGCCTTTCCAAGCAATGGAAAGTATTGGTATTCTAAGTACTCAGCATTCCACAATATAAACACAAGGTAGCAAAAGATTAAGATTTTTTCAAAAAAAGCATTGAGCTGGGTACCTCCCACACCGCGGACATATGTAAAAGTACTGCTCTACTTCAGATCACCCCTTTGTTTGCACAGACTGTGTACACATTTGCTTGCACAGGCTTTGTGTGCATTTGTTGGCGTGGGCTCTGTACGTGCATGTGTTTGCACAAGCTGTGTGTGTGCGCATGTGTTTGTGTGCGTTTGCACAGGTTCTGTGTGTGTTTGTGCACATTTTCACAGGCTCCGTGTACGTTTGCATGGGCTCTGTGTGTGTACGTATGTGTATTTGTGCACGATTGCACAGGCTGTGTACGCATGTGTTTGTGCGCATTCGCACAGGCTGGATGTGTGTTTGTGTGAGTTTCCACAAGCTGTGTGTGTGTGTTTGTGCACATTTGCACAGGCTCTGTGCATGTGCGTGTCCGCATAGGCTGTGTGTGTGCACATGCACATGTGTGTTTGCACAGGCTCTTGTGTACATGCGTGTTTGTACCGGCTGTGTGTGTGTGTGTGTGTGTGTGTGTGCGCGCGCTCGCGCATGTGTGTGTGTGCATACATTTGCATAGGCTGTGCACACCTGTGTTTATGCATTATTTGCTGGGTTTTCAGACTTCCTCTCTACTCTCATACTTTAAATTATTACTACAGTCTTTTGGTAGGACTGATGGATTTGGGGTTTGTTTTATTTTCTTTTGTTATTCAGGTAACCAGAGTCTTTGAATAGGGGCATGAGAAAAAATAACTGATATTTAATTTTTCAAGTTTATTAGAGGGGAAAAAAGCGCAATGATATAATCACATATCAGTTACTAAGCTAGGCCTAACTTGGTAAACTTACCACACTCCAAAGCAGTGTCCTCAAGTTTTGCTGTGCTCCTCCAAACTTGCTACTGCCTGAACTGTTCCACAGGAGGAATAATTAGCATGGGGGGGGGGGCCGGGGGCTCATTGACATTGTTACTTAACAGTGCTGATCAGTAAATTTGGAGCACCTGACACATTGACCTACATGCTCCTGGTTTAAGAAGCAGGTTGTCAAAAGCAACACAGCAGGCTTAAAGACACTGCTCTGGAGTATAGTTAAGTTCCCAAACAGACATAGTCTAGAAGACTATATAATTTACAAGCCAGTGACCTTGTAAAATATATGATACTAGCAAATTGCCCATCAAAAATGATGGAGGGGGGTGGGCAGGGAGGAGCTTCTATGTGTCACCACCTCACACTGCCGCCGCTCCGCATCCAGCCACACACCCCCTCCCCCACTCTACATCCTGCTCCACCCCCACCCCACTCTGCGTCTGGCCCCATGTCCCCCCCACCGCTTCCACACCACCGCTCCTCCCCACTCCATGTCTGGCCCCATAACACCCACCCCGCCTCCCCCCCACTCCGTGTCCACCTGGCCCGCTCCACCGGAGCCAGGCCCCACCTCACCCA